AGTATAAAATTAGCATAGATATATAAATATTAGGTTAAAAATAGAGTTTCACTATAACGCCAGAGAGTTTAAATAGAGTATCTACAGGCAGATACTAGGTATAGCAATTAGTAGGTAACCTATATGGTAGAACCTGTAAATAGACAATGACTAAAGTTATATGCATAGCCAATTGTATCCTCACTAACAAATGTAACTTGAAAATAATACTTAATAAAAATCTGTGGACAGCTTGTTGAAAAATAATAATAAAAAAAAAAAAAAAAAAAAAAAAAAAAATAATAATAAATAAATAATAAGATAAAATAATTAAAACTCATTTTATAATATTTCTATTTTCTTTAAAATGAGTACTGCAAATTCTAATTGATTCTAGGAGTTCTGTAAAATCTTTATTACTTAACTCTTCTAAGTTAGTGAATGTTATCTTCATAGTAGAGCAAAGTCTTAATAGTTCACATATCTGAAAGATTTGATAAACTCATTTAGAGCATTTTCATATTCTGTTGACTCATTGAGGGCTTAAAGATTCTTTAAAGTACTTTAAGTATACTTTAGTCTTTATCTATTTTCTTTTATGTTTTCTCATAGTTGTTCTAAGTAGTAGCATATTTCAAGAGTTTTAAGAACTTAATCTCGTTATTTTCCTCAGTTTTCTTCTTTCAATTAAGAGATTATTTCTTTGAGCTTTTCTTTAAAGGTAGTTTCTATTAAAGGATTTAGCCTTATAAAAACTTCTTCTGTATCTTCTATTATATCATCAATGAATCTAGTAAGGAGGTTATTTGAGAGAAGTTGATCTTCTTCTTGACCTGATTCTTGGAGAGAGAATTCTTCTAAAATTTCTCTATTCAAATTTTCTTTTTCTTGTTGAGAGAGTATAGTTGTTTCTTCTGTTTCTAGGAGTTCATCTAGGTTTATGCTAGAAAAAAGACTTTCAAATATTTCTGATTCATTTTCTATTGTCAGTATTAACATATAAAATATAAGGAAAAACACAAATTCCTTAATATCTTTCGATCTACCAGTCTGAATTAGATGAAACACATACCATTGGAATCAGCTTAATGAGACGGTTCTAATGAGCTAAGAATTATTAAAATCCAATCACTGGATCCCGAGATAATCAAGATTCGGCTTTTTATCATAATTCGTACAATCTGATTGGCTGAGTGACTACTGCAGGAGATGCGTTACATGTAGCATATCTATTACCTATGGTTTTTGAGACACTTTTATTATTTATCATATATATATTACATATCATATTTATTATATATTTCATATATGTATTAGTTATATTTAAAGATACCTGACGAATGACGAAACCATTTCGTCATGTGACTTTCAATTGACAAATTGACGATTGACAAAACCCATGACAATTAACAAAATTATGACAAAATGATGAAACCTATGTCGAAATAATGAAACCTATAATAAAACTTGATAAGTTATTAAACAGAAATCGAGTTGTGTAGTAAAAAAAATGAAGCTTGACTAGCTCTAATCTCTACTATGTTCTAACTTATTTTGAAAGATATAATTTATTATCAGGTTTTGATTATGGAACATTCCAGGTTATCAATTCTAACAGATCAGTTTGGGGTTATACCTGTATACTGTAAATAAAAATAAAAATAAAAAAAAACTGAACAAACTCTACAAAATAGCGATAACAATTACAGAATTAGTAATAGCAATATACTAATTAAGATATTGATACCAAACATTATACAAATAAATATGTAGTGTGGCATAATAAATTTAAAAGTTTAAATAGACTCTTATTGAATAAAATCAGTTTTTTTTTTTGATTATAAAAGATACTACCTAACATATGCTAGTCATTTCTTTCGTCAAACCTTAACATAACTTTAACATGCAAATATAAAAAACTGAGTTTTTTTTTTAAATAAATCATTACCCATAAGTAATACTTGTGTTAACAAAGGCAATGCTATTCATCCTAGTATTTCAGCTATTGAGAATTTAGTTTACACCAACAATTTATATACTTTACAGTTTTTTCATTCGTAATATTAAAAGAAAATTGTTAGATATTTTTCAGAAGATATATTCATGTCATACTATTATACAATCATATAATTCCTGAATAGTTCTCGATCAAAATCAACAAATCAAAATATATATCTTTTATACGTGTTCTTGTTTTTTTTTTATCTTAGATCAAAAAAAAGAAGCAAACAGTATGTTAAAAAAAATTAAATGAAAATTTAAAGCACTCGAAACTAAAAGAGAGGATTCATCAAGTTCTTTAATATCTTCAAAATTTATTTCTGATACAAACACACCAAATGAAACAAATACTAGTTGACAGAATTTATCACCTGTTTGGATATTTTTTCAGTATGAAAAAACCTCATCATCTGAATATTTTTTAGCAAAATACTCTTATTGTACTGCTAAATAGTCAAGAGGCGAATCACAAAAACTTGAGGCTTATCTTGCATTAGAGTGTCCTAATGTGAATAGTGAAATTCAGCAAATTTATTTACTTCACGTAGCTTGTTGTAATAATTTTGAAGAATAATCAGAAAACCTAGCCAGTTCAAAAAATCAAAGTTAAACAATAATTTTTTTTTTTTTTAAATTTTCAACCCGTAGGTTGAGGTGAGGTCTTGCCTCTATCTTTATTTTTGTAAAATATAGTTAAGAGTTTACATGAAACTACCTGGTAAAGTTAAACAATAATCTTGCAAAATATTTTCTACAAAAAATAGATGACTTATCTAAAGAGCGAATAAACTCTATAAATAGTTCATTATTCAAGGTATTTGTTGTCTGCAGTATCTCGTTTTCTATAATCGAAAACCTATTTTTTATTAACCTTCTTCAAAATTTGTACCCAAGTTAACAACTACTATCAAGAGAAGTTTTATCAGGCCATTTATTAGATTAGGAGTATTCTAAAGTTATGATTAAACATGAAACTATTATTGATGATTTTGAAAATCTAACGCTTGGTATGTATTATACATATTTTATATATTTATTGATTCTAATTTATATTTATAATTTATTAAATTTATATTCTTTAAACATAGTACTGGACAGGTAGATGTCACTTAATGAAAATTTGATATACAGTTTTATAATTTTAATACCCATGCATAATAGGTTTTTATATACGCTAAATGATTTTTCTGCACATTCACATACTGCTGAATTTCTTGCAGATAAAATTGATAGAATTTTAAATGAAATTAAATGTGATAAGTTTGCAGCAATCGTAACAGACAATGCTAGCAATGTAAAGCTTGCATGGCAAATTATTCACAATAAGCATCCAAATATTTTAAGTTTGAATTGTATCGCACATTGCATTAATCTAGTATCAAATAATATTCTTAGTAAGTATTATTATAACAATTTATATATTTAATTAGAGATTTTATTAATATAAAGTTTTTTTTAGAGCATTCATTTTCCTCATGACTTATAAAAGAATGCAATGAAGTCATAAAGTTTTTTAAAAAATCACATATAACAAATTCATATCTCTCTCATGCAATATCTGAATTAAAAATTTCTGGTAGTGAACTAAGAAAATTTATAGACACAAGATAGACTTCTGCGTATGAGTGTACATCATCTGTTTGTAGACTTGAATGTGCATTTATCAAGATATATATTTTTATTAATAGTTTAATTAAATATAAATATATAATAATTAAATATTATAATATATAGTCAGGGATATTTCCATATATGGTATTTCCAAATATCGTAATTGATCTACACTGTACAATGGTCCAAAAATTTCTAGAATTTATTGATAAGCATAAATTTAATTGGCTAAAAATTTTGATATATATATCAGTATATAGAAGAAAATTTAACCAAAAAACGAATATCTCAGTACTAGTGCCGTAACATATATGGATTATTTAGTTATCTAAAGAACAGTTACTTTATTACTTTATTATTATATGATTAATACTACATAATTTGAATTTTTTAGGTAGAACGTGAAATCATTACATAATTTTTTAAAAACGCATTGTCTTCCTTGAATATCAGAAAAAAATTTTAATACTTTGCCCAGACTTCTATTTTGGCCTTGGAATAAGGTACGTATCAAACATACTATTATTGAAAACTGTTTAGTTGGTTCGATCTTTTAAATCACAGCACGATTCTCGAATACACAGCAATATGCAGATATGTAGGGTGGGTATTGAGTAAAAAGTATTTCAAACAAGTAAAACATGCATTAAAAGCTTTATGTTTTAGAATTTATTTAGAGTATTTTACACCACTACTTATATCTATAATTTCTCGCTAGATCAATCCAAATCCGTAAGCGATAATTTTTTAACGATTTTGCAGAAGAATTAAGAAAAAAAAAAGCCATACTACTAAATTCGGTAAGGTATATTCAACTACCATGTTACAGTGTTAGGTGGGCTTCTAACTGTATTAGCTATTGTCTTTAAAATATCGTTTAATGGTTATATTACAAAAAAAAAAAAAAAAAAAAAAAAAAAGTATTTAAACGATATTTAAAGCCTCAGATAGTGATACAAAAATCGAATAAAAATCTAATTGATTGCAAAATTTTTGACGATTTGTATCACTATGTGGAACTTCATGTCTGATTTTAAAATAATAAAAATTAATGTAACGTAATTTTGGTTATTAGAAGACCATACAAAAATTTTTTTTGGTTTGCATAACCCGGCCGGGTCAAAATTTGTAGACCTTTGAAAAAAAATTTAACATGTAATTTAATATAAAATTTCCGGGTCAGTTTTTTTAAAAAAAATTCTATATATAATTTATTATAAAATCTCCGGGTCAGTTTTTAAAAAATTTCATGTTTTTATATTTTTCTCTAAAAAAAAATCATGAATTTTTTATAATTTAAAATAAAAAGCTAGGCTGCCAGGTCACTTTTAAAATTTTATGTTATGAAAACTAAGAAATTAACTTTGTGTGGCCAACTATAAAGCAGAAGAATATTAATATTTTATTATTTAATTTTCGAGTTCTATTTCATCTTTAGGTTCATCTTGCTCATTATGAAGATCTCTAATATTTTGTAAGATCTCTCGTAATTGAGTACGATTTTTTTGCTTTAACTCATGATACTTTGAATGATCTGAAATATTAACTGAATTTAGTAATGAATTAATAATTAATAGAAGCTCTTTTTTCGACATATTTGCTTCATCCCTAGTAGCTGCTTCCTCTTGAGCAGTAACAGGTATTGGTCGCAGCGAATAATTTGGCCTATTTTCTTTGAAAGTTTCGTCAATAAATTTAATTCGTCTTTCATATGCTAAATCAGTAAAATTTTTTAGCTTCTCGCTAAGTAGATGCTCATCTCCAAGGCTCTTAAATGTGTGATCATTGCCTTGAGGATTTAAAAACCTAGTTTGTCATAATTGAACTCGAAATCATTGCGATTCTGTGATATAATCTGGGCGTGTTCGACCTCCTAATGATTCATTGTCAGTATACCTAATCATATTAAATAATATATGACGCAACTAATTCAAAATATCATTTATAAATTTTATTATTTTATTACAGTATTAGATGAAGATTGTAAGTACAATTGTTTTTATTTAAATGTATATTTTTCACTAACCTTTATAAATTTTGTACAGTTTCTTGCAGCAATTTTCCAATGCTTTTGTGAAGGTATGGGTGGAATCAAGGCTTTTAAAGATTTATTAACTTCTTCAAGAATAGCATCAAGATCTTGATGTTGATGATGATAACCTGATCATGAAATAACTGAGTAGGATTCTATGCATTGTCTAATTTCAGGATTTAATCGCATTAATTGCTCTTCGTAAGTTATCTCAATTAGGCAGTATATAGGATGCCTACGACCAGACTATACTGGAGCAAACATATGTCGAGCAGTATTTACCAACAATGGCTAGTTGTTTCTAACCCCCGTATGAAAATTAATAATGGCCTGGAGGTAAACAAATATCTATAATAATAATTAGTTAAAAAGTTTTTAGAGTATTTTATTTTTTATTTTAAGTCTTACTTGTTCAAATTTCAGCTTATATTTATGATCATTTTGTTTTTTTGCCCAATTCAGATAGCCATCAGTCGAAGGATTTTCAGTTGCAACTACGTATGGCCATAATAATTCACTTGTAATAGCATGTCAATAAATGTTGCAAATAGAGTCCCACGATTTGTGATGATCGGTGCATTTTTTAAAATACCCAAGTTGGTTTTCAGTCCTGTATCCTTGAATAATAGCAAATTTTTTGATATCAATCATCCTTAAAAAGAATATGTTAGTAAGAATTAGACTATTATATTGATAGAGTTCCAATTTGGATAAATCTGTTACCTGTTTATCTATATCTGATTTATTCAGATATTCGTTTACTATATACTATTGATATCCGAATAATCTGACAGATATTCAAATAATTATCTAGATATCAATAGTAAATATAAATTCAGATCTGGATATCTGATATCTGAATAAATTCGGATCTGAATATCTGATAATTATTCGGATAAACACTAACTAGATTGGAACTCTATTTAAATTTTTGTTAATTTCACAATAATAAGAAGAATAAGAAAAGCTATAATACCAATTAAGCTCTACAAATGCTTTGAGTATGTTCATTTCTTCATGTAGGGCACCGGGAATCAGTATAAGCCACAGAAAGTCTTTTTTGATTTTTTGAGCTAGGTTATAAGGAACGCCATCACAGGTAATAGGTAGCCATTTTCGTTCTCCTTAGTTTATTCGTGTAATACTCTGTATATGCTCTAAACTTTTTTTACATTATTTATTGAGTTAGGATTAAATTCTAATGGATCCGGCACATATATTTCTGGAACAATAACATCGTCATCAGGTTCTGATCGTTGGGTAATACTAATACATTTGAAATGAGAGCTTTTTTGTTCGTGAGTATAAGAATGGGACTTTATTATGAGAGGTTTGGATTGAAAGGCTATGTTATTAAGTTGTGCAAATTCATTAGCAGATTCTGCTTGTAAAGCAGCTAATGTATCTAATTTCTCATTATAGTTAGGGCATGTACGTTTCTTATTATCAATGTTAGTTGTATTGCATTTTTTACACCATTTTGATTGACCTCCGGTACCTTTTTGATTTTTTATAGTTTGATCAATGATATTCGTTGTTTGGTTTTTTTCAGCTATGAGGTTTTTTAAAATTGAGGATAAGTATATTTTTAATTCTGATTCGTGTTCTTTTTTCATTTCTGGTGTAAGATAATATAACTTTTCATATTCTTTATCTGTTAACGAGTCATTAAGCCAAGGTACGATTACAAATTGAGTCAAATCATTTTTATTCATATTTAAAGCAACAAAACTCGTAACTATGTGATAGATAACTGTATTATATCCGCGATCAAGATAATTATGTTAACCTCGTTGTTCGTTATCAAAGGCCAGGAATAGAAGTCCTTTAGGTAAAGGTTCACTTTCGATTGCTAGCGATTCTAGCTAGTTAACAAATTTAGTATAACTTCTAGAACTAACTATGTGATTATCAATGTCAACAATTGTCTTAGATCAGAATAGTGAATATTTAATTCCTGATATGGCTAGACTTATTTCTGATATGTAGTTTTTATGTTTTGACCCATATATTGAATCAATCGCAACTATTTTTTTAAAGATTTTTTCATTTGATATATAATCACTATGATTATTACTATCATTACAAGTAATAGTATTAATAAAGTTAATAATAACCAGGTTACGATTAGCTAACCAATTATTGGGTGTAAAATTTAATAAGTTATTAAGTGAAAATCACTCTCTATTCAAAATTAATGATTCGATATCATTATAAACGTTTTGGCGTTCTTGGTTTGCAATTTGGATTATGGAATTAATTCTTTTTTTTTGACTATTATATCAGGTTTCCCATTTATATTTTAGCGCATTATTTTGTTCGTTTAGCTCTTTATTCATTTTACTTAGTTCTTGAACACGTTCCCAACTTTCTATCACATAGTCATATGTATAATCTAATTGTTTTTTAAGATCTTCTATCTGATTTATTTTTGAGTTTAACTATAATTGAAGTAGATAAACATGACTTTCAAGAGTAATATCAGATACTTGTATACCAACCTCATGGGTTTCCTGATTAACCTGTACGCTAACTTCACACATATTTTTTTTAACATCTGTTTCATGTGAATACCGAGCCTGCTTTTCAATTATTCTATTGTCAAAATTATTACTATTTATTTGCCGCTTTTGATTATTAGGTCTATTCTTAGGAATATTTGAACTTACAAGTATTTGAAGTAAAAAATTAGATACAATAATTTGATTATAATACCTTTCGCATAAAGAAAAGTCTTCTAAATGCGTTTGAATTTGAACCAATTCAGAAAAAAAATCATTATATAAGGGAAAGCGATCTTGAGGTAATTTACTACTTGTATGTCGTATAGTTTGTGAATTTTTAGTTTCACATTCTAATAGACCCAAATTTTTATATAAAGGAACTAGAGTAGCAAAAGCGCAAGGTAGATCTTTTGCTCACGAACGTTATTTAGTTTGTTTAGCTTAGTTAGCTTGGTTAGCTTGATTAGCTTGGTTAGCTTGATTAGTTTGATTAGCTTCCACTAATGAAAGAAAGTATATAGCTTAATATTAGTGAATCTTAATCTAAGAACGATAAATAAATTTATTACATATAGACATACTAGTTTTAATTCTTATAGCGATAGTAGAATTTCAAGTATTTCTAAACAAGTAAAGAACCACGTAATACTAACAGTTGAATAATATTAGAATAGTTATAATAATAAAAAAGTAAAGAAACCGGTGTTAACAAAGTAAGAATCAAGGCAATTCTTATTCGTATTATTTTTTTTTTTAGCGTATTTCTAACAGTTAAAAAAAAAAGTCGCTTTAATAAATTTATGTTTTAATAGACTTTTTAAAAAAAAATCTCATTTTAATATACTCGTAAATTTCAAAAGCGAGTTTATTATGGAAAGTTTTAGCTGATTGTAAAACTACTTATTTTAAACTTCTTAATTTCGTAAGGGTTCATCATATTACAAAGACAATTCGTATAAATTTATCATATGAAACTTGTAAAAAATGTTCATAAAACAGTAAAAAATTTGATGATCAATTTCTAGATCATGTGTTTATGTATCTAATTATTTTAGAATAATCAGTTACATAATAGACCAAATATGGAAATAATCCTGACTGATATATAGATTATGAATGATAATCCAGATATAATTTCAAACTGAGCTATAAGACAAATTTTAAGGTAATCAAATTTTTTTTCAGATCTTAAAATTTTAGTTAAGATCTTATATCCTATTCAAATAGCAATAATAAATTTAGAAACTCAAACAACAAATCTAGCAGACTTCTTTTTACAATTTGTTTAACTAGCAGCAGCAATTAAAAAAGTTTCAAATATATGAGCTAAAGGGTTTAAAAGCTATTGTGTAAAAATTTTTAACAAAAGATGAAAAGATTTTAATACTAATAATTACTTGCTAGCATATTTTCTTCACCCAGGTTATCATGGTATATATTTCAGATTTTTAATAATTAATATATATATTAGTTAAAATTAATTTAATTTTTTTACTAGGCGCAGGATTATGTGAACAACAATTTGAATTAATTGTAACAAATGCAATTAAAATATGGCAACAAGAAGGACATAACAAATATGAATATGCAAATCTTGCTGCTCATATATGATTATTTTATGAAAAAAAAAGGATTCCACTTGCCTTATTGTTTTGAAACTGATACACCTTTGTTGTGATGGTCAACTAATTATACTGGTGCTAAATCTGTTGGAAAACTAGCAATCAAGCTCTTCTCAATTACATCACACTCTGCTGATTGTAAAAGGATATTTTCATCATTAGGTTGGTTGTATGGAAAATGGTGACAACAACTTTCATTATCCCAAATTTAAGCCATGGCACAAGTTCAGTCTTTTTATATGTCTAATATAGAGAAAGAATTAGTTTTTTTTGATAAAAAGTTATCTTATAATGATTTGCAAGAAAAAGTAAAATCAGCAACTTTCTTGGTTGAAGATGATGAAGGTATTATTGAAGATGAAGATATTACTGATGACCTTGAAGAAGACGCAATTGAATATGATTCAGAGATTATTGAATATTTTGATATTGAAAATATAGTATTTCTAAGAGACGAAATATTTCAAGATAGTGAATCGGATGCTGATAGTGAAGAATCATAAAGTGATAGATCTATAAATTTAATGAGGATGAGATAGATATTAATAATAAAATAGGACAAAGTGAATTTGATTTTGATCCTACAGATTTAGCAGCAGATTTTATGAAAGAATAGAGTGATGAAATTGTTGATAATACTATAGGTGAAGAAGATATTGGTGATAATTTAATTATAGTAGAGAATGATAATGAGAATTCAGAATCTTTACCTATAGCGCTTCAAAAAACTTGTCGTAAGAACTTAAAAGATAATAGTTAAAGTTATATATTATCTTTTTATAGAGTGATTTTTTTGTTTTATGATAGTTAATCATAATTTTACCAATTATCAATCATTCCAAATAGTTTCATTATTAATCGATAGTTTTATCAAAGTAACAACTTATTATCAGTTATAAATCTAGTATATTTTATATATGGTAGTATTGTAAAACTCTTTCCCGTACTGCTCAACAATTATACTGCGGAAAACAAGGAAAAGAAAAAACAACAATACAACTAACACTGAAAACTCTTCCCTTTGGGAAGGCCTAAATAAAAAAGATAACAACTT